CCTGACTGGACTGGAGACACTGCTGTCCCTCTCCTCTCACACTCCCGCTGAATTCACACACTGACTGGACTGGAGACACTGCTGTCCCTCTCCTCTCACACTCAGCACCGTATTAGAAAAAGCCATGTAAACACTCACAAACTAATTACGACCCAACCCTGACTGCCCCTGGCCACCCTCCCAGCTCAGATGACCTGCACTCACACTGTCCACATTGGCTGAACTGCTGCCTTTGCCACCTGTCACTTGACTGTGTCACTGTCCCCTGGACACCAGCGAGGCTGGTATTGGGCTCAACAGGCCCCCTCACCTGTGTGGTTCTGGAAGGGACAGAGAGGGAGACGCACAGACTCTTTGCCTTCTTTCCTGATCCACCAGACCTGCAGGAGATGGCAGGAGAGAGAAGGTTCAGACTGCAGCCCGCAGTATCTATGTCTCGAGCGCTCAGGCCTGAGGAAAGCACCGTATGTTCTTTAGGCTGCAGTACCTCAAAACACATGCAGGGGGTGACACTGTACAGGGGAATCTGCATCACTGGGTTCACACTGGAGCTCTGAAATAGAGGGAAAAGCAGCACAGCAACCCGTCAGCAACACATCAGATCACCGCAAGAGGGGCTGGGAAAGAGAGGAGAATGAGACTTGGAAAGAGAGGAGAGGAGGGAGGGAAGAGGACAGAAAGTGATACTATGGAGGTAGTGGCAGATTCACAGACAGAAGTTGAGGTGTACAGGAAGATCCTACATCCATGAGAAAAACCTAAGAAAGTCCCAGACAGACACAGAGGACAGTCAGGCAGAGCTGGCAGGTGGATAGTGTTGAAGATATACGCTCAGGAGGACAGACTGACCAGCACCATGCATCTGCGGCTCCTTCCTTGTTTAACACAAAGTCCCAAATTATTGGAGGGGCTTTCGGAGTTATTGACCAGCTGCAGAAGGGCCACGCCCTCTTCCGTCCGAATCTCAGTGAGGACCATGGGGACTGCGTCAACAACAAGAGAGCCAATCAGAGCGCAGCACAGGAGAGCCAATCAGAGCACAGCACAGACAGAACAATCACAAACAGCTCTAGGCTGAACAGACCTGTAGCCTCTTTCGTCAGGAGCCTCTCCGGTCCGTTTTTAACAACAGTGTGGTATAGCAATCAGAGCCACTCACAAAAACAGTGTCCTCGTCAAACAGCTGTGGAAACTCTTCATCTGTAGGTTTTTACTTTATAATTATGGGCTCCCCACTCCCTCGCAGGAGAGTGGGCGCTGACTGGAGGAGTGGAGTGTCTCACTGACACACTGTGGATGCTGACTGGAGGAGTGGGATGTCTCACTGACACACTGTGGATGCTGACTGGAGGAGTGGGGTGTCTCACTGACACACTGGGGGTTCTGACTGGAGGAGTGAGGTGTCTCACTGACACACTG